TTTCCTGGAATGCATCATTACTGGTGATGAGATGTGATGTCACCACTACGAGCCAGAGTAACAACAGCAGCCCATGGACTGGTGAATGTGAATTCCACATTGAAGAAAAAGTTTGAGAAGCAGTCCTCAGCAGGTAAAGTGATGTGCACTGTCTTTTGGGCTAGGGAAGGGGTGATCCTGCTGGATTTCTTAGAACCCAGACAAACCATCAACTCTGACCATTACATCACAAAGCTGACAGAGCTGAAGGCTTGAACTTCCAGAATCAGGCCAGAGAAGAAGAAAATCTTTCTCTTGTAACACAATAATGCCATGCCTTATATCAGTCTGAAGGCCACAGGCTGCCAGTCTAGGTTAGACTGTCATAACATATCCACTGTATAGTCCAGATTTAGCACCTTCTAACTTTCTTTGTTCGGTCTGATGAAGGATGGACTGCTTGGGCACCATTTTCCTAGCAATGATGCCATCAAAGCAGCTGTGAAACAGTGGGTGACCTCTGCTGGTGCAGATTTTCATAAGGATGGCATGCAGTCTCTTGTTCATCACTAGCAAAAATGTACAGCTAATTGGTGGTGATTATGTTGAAAAATTGTGTTTTGTAGCTGAGAATTGGCTCTATCAAACAGTGTTGTTGTGCTCTTTGCATCTGTTGCGGTTTCCATGGAAATAAACAGGAGGCATTACCTTCAGGGTGACCTCTATATGTATCTGTAGTTCAGGCAGCCATTCACTTTCCATTACAGAAATAATGTTGCCAATTACACCACTGCCAAGCTGTTACTTTTTGGGTCAGAAGAATCCATTTTGAGCACCAGAATCAGGGTGAATTGTTTAGGAAGACTTCAGTCAAAACATCCTAGACATTTCCAAGAACAAACAAATAAAATTGTTTTAAACTGACTGGTTTAAAATAAATTCTTCCATCTGTTTTAATAAGAACAAGCATTTTCAGATTTGGTGCAAAGGTATGATATTTATCTAGATGGTCTCTGTAGGGAAGAAGATATCCCTGTGAAAATGTGTCTTTCTACCCTCTGAAAAATGTTATTTCACATACAATAGTTAGCATAAGCACAGTGCTGAGTCCTGAAGTTTTAACTTCATGGTGGGAAGAACATTTTGTGCGAGAGCTGAGAAACTTGAGTTGAGAGCTGAGGACTTGTGTACAAGCCCTTCACCAATATGAAGGGATCTAGAAAAAGAAGTACCAGGCTACAAAATGGGGTTAGAAGAGACAAAATATTTCAATTTCTTCTGTCTCTGCTGTTGAAACCAGCCAACTGAAGCTGCTGAAAACAGATTGGATTCCTAGAACAGGTTGTGTGCCTGTGGCCTTGAAAGGCACATAAAAAGCATGAATTAATCTAACTTGCACACTGATGTTTTTAAGTGCCTAGTCCTTTAACATGCTTAAGAACATAATTATGCCTACAATGACAATTTCCTTACAGCTAGCATAGATTGTCCAGATGTGCAACTCCAGATGATTCTCTGGAGCTTAGCAGCTTTAACACACATTCCAGAGGAACTGAAAACACATTTTAAACTTCACTCCTCCTACTGTAATTGCTACTTGCATACTCTTTCTTACTGGTATGTATTACCCCATTAGTAGGAGCAAAGAATTTCACAGGTTCATTTGCTACCTGAAATACTATTTGGTGTGGTGCAATAAGGCTATTTATGTTCCTAAAAGTTGATGATGTTCTCTAAATTGGAGAGAGATGGGTTTGAAGGGTGGACACTTCAGTGGATATGGAATTGGTTGGCAGATCGCAGCCAGGGATTGTTTCAATAGCTCAGTGTCCAGGTGGAGGCTGAACTGCGCCCCAGGGGTCAGTCTTGGGACTGGTACTCTTTGATATCTGTATCAGTGACAGAAATGATGGGATTGAGTGTGCCTCAGCAAGTTTACTGATGACACCAAGCTTATAATGTGGCTGATAATGTGGCTGATAATGACAGAAGGAAGAGGTGCCATCCAGAGGGACCCAGACAGGCTTAAAAGTGGGCCTGTGTGAGACTAATGAGGTTCAAGAAAGCAAGGTGTTGCATTTGGGTCAGGGAAATCCCAAATACATATAGAGACTGGGAGAAGAACTTCATGGTAGCCCTGCTGAGAAGGTCTTAGGGGTTTTGGTTGATGACAAATTTAACATGAGCCAGCAGTGTGCTTGCAGCCTGGAAGGCCAATGGCGTCCTGCGCTCCATCAGAAGAGGAGTGGCCAGCAGGGACAGGGAGGTGCTTGTCCCCCTCTGCTCTGCCCTCGTGAGGCCCCATCCGCGGTACTGCGTCAGGAAACATGGGGAGCTGTTGGAGTGGTTCCAGAGGAGAGCCTTGATCAAAGGGCTGTAGCACCTCTCCTATGAAGAAAGGTGGAGGGAGCTAGTTAATTAAAAATAATAATAATAATAATAATAATAATAATAATAATAATAATAATAATAATAATAATAAAAATCAGACCGCTGAAGTGAACACCATCACACACAACATCCTCACTCACACGCCTCTGCCCGACCCGTAATGGCGCCGGACCGGGCGGGGCTGCCCCGGGCTCTCACCCAACGGCGGGCAGGGCTGGACCGGGCACCTTTACGTAAGGCAGAGGCGGGACCGAGTCACGGTGGTGGCGGTAGCGCCATGTCGTGGTACCGCAACGTCGTGTGGTTCGTGAAGGGGCTGCGGGAGTACACGAGGTACCGGGGCCGCCGCCCCGAGAGCGGGCTGTGCCGCGGGGCGAGTGCGGCGCTGCGGCGAGGCGGGGGCAGTGCTTGGGGTGCGTGTGTATGTATGTGGGTGTTCGCTAGCTCAAGGCTTTGCGCCTTTATTTTCCCTGTTAATCGAAGTCTGTCCCCCAAAGAGGGCGATTTTCAGCCCCTTACGTGTCTTTTGACAGCCAGCCTTACCCTGAGCTCAGTGCAGGAAGATCGCACGTGAGCCCGAGCCGAGCAGTCCGAGCCCCTTCGGCTCCCACACAGGACGTTTGGAGTCGTTGCCGCAGAACTTGCTCCACAGTGGCACTGCGACCAGGCAGCTCTGTGAGAGAGGAGCGTTGAGCTGTGGAGGGAAAGCCCTTTTCAACCCTCCCTGTGTTTTTTGGTTTTGTTTTGGAATTGCTGTATTCTAGTTTCTCTGATTTATCTAGGAGCGGTTACGAATCTGCCTCCAAGCACTTCGACCCAGCAGATCTGGAGGTGGACGTGGCTGGTAGATCCTTTCTGATCACTGGGTCCAACAGCGGCATTGGCAAGGCTGCAGCCAGGGAGATAGCACGGAGAGGTGAGCTGGGGAGCCACCCCGGGCTGCAGGAGACAGGAGGGGAAGCAAATCTGGCTTCCAGCACAAATAAGGAACATGCGGCTCTCTGGAGCGAGGGGACAGAGCTCTTGGTTTGGGTTGAAGGATTAAGCGTGGTCAGCGGTGTGAAAACTGAAATAGTGCAACAAAAATGTAAATAGAGAAAATGTCCAATGTTTCTCACGTGTGTGTTTAGCAGTATTGTCCACCTGTGCTACAATGTCATTTAAAGGTGTTACTGACAGAGTGTGGTCTACAAAGGCTGGTTCAGTACAAGTATCACCTTGGTGGAACGTGAACAGGGTGAGGAACTTAAACATATAGCATGTGATGGAAGAAAACAGGTGGCTTTGCAAAGCTAGAGATGGGAGAGTACAGAAGGACCAAAGTGGTGTACTTGATCGTGACGATAACAGCCTGGAATTGGCACCCTTTAGCCAGCCTTTTTCTTTTCTTTTTTTTTTAAATACATTGTTCTGTGTAAGCAAGGAGGTGACATGAACTGGAATTAGCTACTCTTTAAGGATAAAACTAATCCTGTTTAGGGCTAATAAAATAACTCCCCTTGTGCAAGAGTTCCAGGCACTTTGGCCTGTAGAATAAAAAGGAGTTTGTGGTTCTCTTTGCCTGCTTAGGCTCTAGCAACTATCTTGTGAAGGAGAGTGGAGATTTGATTAAATTAAACTAATTCAAAATTATTAGCATCGAAGAGCCTTTGACTTGAAGATCCCCCTCAATACCAGTTTATGATTGATCTCAGGTTCCTGCTACAGTCATTAGGCATCATAAATTTATTGCTTTGCCTGGTGACTCTTCTGCTTACAAATGGAGCTGCCCACCAGATGTTGCTTAGAGTTATTTAGGTTAAAAAAGATCACTAAAATGATCAAGTCCACCTGTCAACCCATCACCATCATACTCACTAAACCATGACGCCCAATGCTTCATCTATGCTTTTCTCAAATGATTCCAGGTATAGGCAGCTTGTTCCAGTGCATGACCACTCTTTTTTCCCTAATATCCAACTGGAATCTCTCCTAGAGCAACTTAAAGTCATTACCTCCTGTCCTGTCATTAGTTACCTGGGAGAAGAGGCTGACCCCTGCTTTGGTACAACCTCCCTTCAGGTAGTTGTAGAGAGTGATAAGGTCTCCCCCGAGCCACCTTTTGTCCAATCTAAACAATCCCAGTTCCCTCAGCCACTCCCCATAAGATTTGTGCTCCAGACTGTTCTCAGCTTTGTTACCCTTCTTTGGGACACATTCCAGGGCCTCAATATCTTTCTTGTAGTGAGGGACTGCAAACTGAACACAGTACTTGAAGTGTGGCCTCACCAGTGCAGAATACAGAGGGACAATATCTCTCCTGCATATCAGACTGAACTGACGCATAGGATTTGGTCATTACATCTAAATTTGAGCTCAAAGAATAACTTGAGACTCAGACTTCTTGCCTGATACTTTTCTAGGGCATGGTTGTGCATATGAAGTTAAATTGACTTAATCATTTAAGTCAAGAAGAAATTCCTGATCCCATTCTTGCATGTGTTGCTCTGAAACTCCATGTCAGCAACTGGGACTCACTTCTAGTCGAATCTCTTGAAGTGCGTTGCAACAAGAAAGCAAGGAATTACACTCAGCAAACAAATAACCAGCTACATTGGCTTCATCTGCGTGCACATCATATCCTTGTAAGTTATGGCAGTCTTGATTACATCTTCTGTAGCCTAAGTTCAGCTCTTTTCTGAATCAGTGTCATGTTGGTGTAGTGGGCTAACCTTGGCAGGCAGCAAAGTGCCGCACAGTTTGCACACTTTCCTGTTCCACTAGCAGTAGGGTGAGGGAAGGGGAAAAGAAGAATGAAAGTGTGAAAACTTGTGAGTCCAGATACAATAAAAAAAAGTTTAGTGCACGATGGAGAAGTTAAATAAGAGACAAAGAAAATGAAACAAGTGATGCAAAAGCAATCGCTCACTAACTCCCATGAGTAGACTGATGCCCAGCCAGTTCCTGAGCAAGAGATGGCTAGCTCCTAAAGCCCCCTCTCTTCCTCTTTATTACTGAGCATGATGATATGTGCATGGAATATCTCTTTGTTCAGCTGTGGTCAGCTGTCCCAGCTGTGTCCCCACCCAACCTCTTGTCTCAGATCTATTCACTGAAAGGCTAAAGTGAGAGACAAGGCCTTGGCACTGTGCAAGTGCTGTTCAGCAAAGGATAAAAAATAGTGTGTTACTAGCATTGTTTTACTCACAAATCTAAAGCACAGCATCATATGAGCCACTATGAAAAAAATTAATACCATGCCAGCCACAGCCAGTACTATGCATACTGCAGATGTGGGCTTTCCTATATATCTTGTGAGCTGCAGTTCAGGTTTGGTGCAGGTTTTTCCCAGTCCCATGTGTTGTTTAAATTCAGATAATTCTAGGTCTTTACCATGCAAGACATACTTAAATGCTTTCCTAGCCCATGGTTTGCACCAAAACAACTCTCTCTTCTTGGCAGCAAGAAAACATTCATATTCAGAGCCCCTCAAATCCACCTTTGGGACCATACCATGTTTCCAGTCAGCTGAAGGGCAGCTACCACCTCTGTGTATTTTTTTCATACAAGTACAGTGCTTGTGTAGTCTCTTGTGCTTTGGGAAGAGCTCTTAAAACATCTGCACATCCTCAACTGCCTTAAGATCTCTCATTAAAGCCCTCCTTTGTGCAGCAAAGCCTACAGTCACTGAAAGAATGGCTTGACAAGTGAGCATTGGAAACTGTGTGTTCTGATACTTGTCTGTCCTTTCACTCATGAAATCTAGTCTCACTGAGGCAAAAATTGTCTTTCATTCTGATCTGTATATGCTTAGTGCCTGATTATGCAGGGTCCCTCCCATGCACAGTGCATATGTAGCACAAAAAATCTCAAGGCTTGTTGCCTGCTTCAGCTGCATGCCCAGTATGCTTGCTCTAATTGTAGTCAGTGGAAAAACTCTCAGACACAATTGCACATTCAGAGCCCTAAGTAGGCTGTGCAGCACATGGGTATGTGACTACTCCATCCCTGGAATAGTTCTGATGTCTTGCATTTGGGTTCTAATTGCTTTCATCAGAATTCCTTTGGGATTACATTTCTTAAGCCTTCTAGCATTGGACTGCTAGGAACCCCTAAAACACATTTAACAGTAAACTGAACTAAGGAGTACAATACAATATGTTCTTGTAACTGAGATTAACAAATTTCTTGTAATGATTAAGGAATGCAAACCGTAAGAATAACAGTGATGTCTGCTTATATTTCAGTGCTGTTTTTGAAGGTTCTCTTTAATGTCGCTGTGCTATTAGGGCATGATACATATCCAGTCCTTGGAGAAGACCCTTGTCCTGAGTATTTGTTCTGTAGAAAAAGTGGTTGGAAGGTACCTAAAGGTCATCTTGTCCAGCATCCCATTTGAAGCGGGACTTTTACCATCACTAGATCAATTTGGTCACTGCTTTGCCTAGCTTGATCTTGAAAGCTCCTAATTTCCATTCTATTGAAATTCTACCACCTCTTAGGGCAGGGCTGGGCTGATCTATCTCCTCATGACAACTTTTTTCTTAATGCCTGTCCTGAACCTTCCAGGCTGCAGTTTGTGCCCATGGTTCTTGTCGTATAATCTGCCTCTGCTGAGAAATATTCTGATACCTATCATCTTTTATTCTGTTTTCCCTGTATTCAAGTCACTTGTGTTGTTTCTTTCTAAGGCATGCCAAAACAAACATTCATGAGATTGATGTCTTAGCTTTATTTTCTAGCACAGCCCTGGTGCTTCATTAATACTAAGCATGCCTAGCAAACTTGATAGAAAATAGCTTGAGTTAATGGTTGAGAATATAGTTGAGTGCTTGAACTGCAGTGGCATTCTCCATTCACACAGCCTTGCTTGGGGACCCTAGTACGTTTTGCTGTACATCTGCTTATTGTGTCCTGAGCTTTCTGTTGGAACATTTTTAATAGACTGTTGTCCTTTGATAGATCGTGCCTAAATTCTTGGCGTCTGGTTTACTAGGTAGCACAGCAATCTATTGCAAGCCAGTGTCCAATGATTGTCTCTTTAGGGAGGTTAGGAATCCAGGACAGGGAAGGCAGGGGAAGGGAGGAGAATGGTGGGTGGAGAAGGAAGTTAGAAACAAACTCAAAACCACTAAGACACAAGGAGGAGCTCAAAGCCCCTCAACAGCTGATGGCACTGGGTTGCTGTTTGCTAGCAAAGTCTGAAGTCAAACTAGTTCTGTCCCAAGAACAGCTCTGGCAGCTCCTGAATCCGGTCCAACCCCAGTTCCAGGATGAGGGATGTCAAAACCTCCTTGTCTATGAGATCAGTGTCCATAACATTCAAGGTCAGAGCCGGTGAGGGCATGTGCTGCATGCCCGGGTGCTGGCTGGGCCCCACTCTGTACTGCTGAGCACCAGCTCCCATGGGCCCGTTGCTCTGGGTCTTCTGGGAGCACTGGTCCCTAGGTGGGACTAAAGCTGCTGAACATGGGATTGTGAAGTGCTGTGGCTTTGATTTGCACCTTTTTCCCAGCTCTTCATCAATATTGTGGTCTGGGTCCTCCACAGACCACAGCTATGAAAAGCTACTGCTCAGCTCTTGACAGCAGAGCAATGGGACCGTGGACTGTACACAGCCCAGGAGTGCTCTGTCTGCTGGGAAATCCCCACAATATTCCAGGGTGGCCACTGCTACTGGCACACTACAGATTTCTCACAGATGGGAAGCAGTCACAGAAGGTTTCTCATTCCTTCTAATTTGTATCAAAAACTAACCCCAAAGAAGAACTGCAAATTGGAAGCTACTTTCTGGCTCTTTCTCTTTGCTGATGTCCCCCTGACATATTTAGTAATTAATTGTCAAATATGTTTCTTGTTAAAATCCACGAGGTGGCACGGTTCACCTGGTTTGCCGCAATAAGGAACGAGCTGAGGAAGCCAAAGGAGAAATAGTGACAGAAACTGGCAATCAGGTAAGTTTGTTGTTATGTTTTGTGATGTCCTACCTACTTTTCCTTACTACACTGCTGAGGATTTTAAAAGTTAATTCATTGCAACACTCTTGCGACAACATTTGTGGAGTTGGAGGCTTTCTGAACCTGAATAACATGCTCTTGATTTGCAAAGGATGTCTTTCCTGCTTCACGTATGTAGTCCTAATTTTATTCTTATAGACTTTCCAATCTCTTTTTCTTACAGTATCTTTTCCTTATCTCCTGCTTTCTGTTAGAGATTCTTTTTGCTTCTGCATATATCAATCTGCAGTACACCTCCGTAGCTGTCAGTGTTGCTTTGGTAATTATTCTTGAGGGTGTGCTTGTGGAGAAGTGGAGCCAGTATCTTTGTACATTGGATGAAGATCTGTCTTCGTTTTAAGCAGGGCCTTGGCTCTTAAGCACAGTATTTTGATTCCAGTAGTAGTATTTAATGGTGTCAAACATTGTGAATACTTCTTATGGTTAGAGATACCTTACTGAATAATTTGTGCTCTTTAGTTTCAGCTCCCAAGCGTGGCACTTCCGCTCTTTAATGGAGGTGAATTAGATCAGTCCTTGTAGAAATACTCTCCAACTGTCTCGAGAAGCATGATCCCCTGACTATAGTAAGATACAGTTGTGAAAGGACTGGTGATTAGAAGTGTTACTTTCTTTTGTAGCTGCAGTCAGACAGCCTGGGCAGAGGGGTGAGTTTCATGACCTCTGAGGGTTCCTTCATGTTCTGTGTTCTATCATTTGTGAAACAAAACTCAAGGCACATAGTATTCTTCCTTTAAATGCAGCACATCTACTGCATACTGAGTTTTGGTAGACTACAAACCTGCAGTTTCTTTAGTCATTAAAGAACATGAGTGCACAGTAGAACTTCTGTGTGACCAGGGGTCCTGGGCACTTGTATGGAAAGGAGTATTTGTTAAAGTGTTAGATGAGCTGTACAAGTGGCCCTGCACTGGAAAGAGTCATTTTTATAAGAAGTCCACAAGAACATCCTTCTTTCTAAGTAGCCATTCAGAAGCAATCCAGAGGGATAATAAAATACTTTATCTGCAACTTGACAAGTTACAAGCAGACCTAACTTGCTCTTCCTGATTATCTGGACAGAGATCCTGTTGTAATACGTGCCAGAGATTTGTTTCCAGTTACCACAGCAAAACATGCTGGGGTTCAATGCTGAGATGAGTTATTATTTGGCAGGCATTTGCACCTTAACCTGGGAACCAGGAAGGTCTCCTGATTTTCTAATTAGATCTACTCATGGAGATTAGATCTCACCTTGAGAATGACTTTGCTACCATGAAGGACTTTTATAGGGAACAGATCTGTAAGTTCCTTTTCTGAGCCAGTGTGACAGTCTTCAACAGATTCTTTTTCAGTCTCTGAAATCACTTGTAATATTGAACATCTGCCCCCAAATCTCCTCTTCTGTTGCAGTAGTTAATTGTAGTAGCTCTAAAAGTAGAAGGCTCTTAGAGAGGTATCTGCTTAGAACCTACAGAAGTGTCAAGTTTTTTGTTTAGAAATGAGCATTATGATGAGAAAATTCTGAGCTACTTCAAATGAGGAGCTGAAATCCAGAGGCTAAAGAGAAGACAAGTGTTTTTATCTTCAAGAAAGCAGAATTATAGATTGGGAATGATGCCTTATAATTTTCCCAGCTTCTTCGCTTATCTCTTTTGCTTGTGTAATGAGTAGTAAAGGAACAGTTTGAAAAAAGAGGAGATCTTGTAATGATTATTTGTTTCTTTGCATGGGAACACATCCTCTGCATAACTATCTTGGAAGTTCCTTTCCTTGCATATGTCATAAGACTGTCTGTGGTATGTCTTCAAGACTAAGCACTGTGCAGGAGAAGAGTAGGATTTGCAGTGCCTTCTCTATGCTGATAAATGCTACTCTGCTTATACTAGCTAGAGCAGACATTTACAAAAGCAGAGAATTGCCTTTAACAAGGACTAAAAGGCTTTAGATGTTTTGGAGAGAGGAAATGTTTTAGATTTAGTGGGTTGGAAGATTATAACTTTGCTCTCATGTCAAGCTTTTCCTCTTTTATTTTACTGTGTTCACATCCCTGCCCATTTCAAAGCAAGGGTAGACTGAAAGGGACATGGCGATTCATGCAGCACTTAGTGTGGAAAGAGGTTGCAGAAGGCACACAACACTCTGCTTAAAAATAGTGGCATGGGCACAGTGATGTACTTAAAGGTGTGCTCTTCTGCCCTGCTCCAGAGGAATGATACGTGGGTGCCGTGCTGCAGGGAGTGACTGGCTCTTCTTCCTGAGCCTGGGGCAGAGCACAATGGGGTCCTCATCAGTTGGGCTCTGCTGTGGCCAAGGTGCTGGGCTGCCAGATGAAGCATCTGCTGGACATGGAACAAGCTGCATAGCCTTAGGGAGAGGAAACAGGTGGACAGGGTCTGTGCAAAGAGCAGAAGAGCACAAACCCCACTTACGTGAAGGATGGAAAGCTAGGGCCTATCTTCAAGTAAATGGATGGAGATTCCTAAGATGGGGAAGACTGGGCATTTGTGAACACCAGTAGAAGGCAGGATTGTTCTCAGCCTGCAGGTGTTCATTTACAGCTTAGGTATAGTGCCATGGTAACAGATGGGGAAGAAAAAACTCTGTCAGGGGAGGATTTGAAGCCAGCTGAGCCTGAACCATTGTTGGCACCAGGAGGAAGGGTGGGTGAAAATGGCTGGAGGCTCTCTCCTGTTGGGGATGGAGGCATCTGCCTGCTGTCTTGACTTGATGTCTTGAGAGATTTGTCACTTGCTAATGTGGTTTGATCTGGTGAACAGTAAGACAGGTAGAAAACTGCTTGGGCTATTATGCTCAGAAAGTAGCAGTCAACAATACAGAGCTGATCTGATGAGCAGTTATTAGTTGCACCCTTCGTAGCTCAATACTGGGGCAAGTTTAATGCCTCTACTAACAGTCTGGACAAATAGATCAAGCATAATCTTCGTCAGATTGCAGATAGCTTCAATTTGTGGAGAGCTGGAGAGTAAAGGTGCTATTCAGAGAAGCTTAACAGGTGGGAAAATGGACAGAAATGAACCTCATCAAGTTCATCAAGAGCAGTCCTGCCCGGGGTTGCAGTAATCCCACAGAATAGATGGCCTGGGACTGACTGGAGAACAGGTCTACAGAAAAGGGCTTGGGGTTGATGCCATGACCCTGAGAAAGCAGTATGCCCTGAGGCAAGGAGGACCAAATGCACCCTGGGCTGAATGACCAAGTGTAGCCAGCAGGTTGAGAGAAGTGCTGAGCCCTTGTGAGACCACAGCAGGACACCTACATCCAGTTTGAGCCTCCTGGAACAAGGAAATCTTTTTGTCCTAGAGCAAGGCCAGACTGCCAAAGTTACAAAGGAACTAAGATGTGTGTGGAGAAGAGGTTGAAAGGGTTGGTTTCACTCAGTGTTAAGAAGAGAAGGCTGAGGTCTACAGCCTTGTTACTGTGGCACATAAATTGCAAACCTGACTGTTGACTGGGTTTTACCTTGCTGTGTATGAAACAGATAGACTTTCTGTGCCAGATTGCCAGACAGAGATGAAAGCTGGGGTCCCTTTAAGCATGCATTAAACATTAGAAGGTCATGGCTCAGGAGCAAATGTCAAAAAATGTTCCTAGGAAAATATTTTAATGTCCCAATTTTGCTTCTTAGCCATAAATGTTTCAGATATGTTCTGGAGATAATATTTTTTCATATGACTAGAATAGCTTTTCAACTAGTCAGGCCTTAACAGTGGGCAGGACCTACTCACTGTCCATGTTGATTGTAACTTACTTTTCTTCATTTAGAATATCTTCTTGCATATTGTGGATATTTCTAACCCCAAAGAAATCTGGAAGTTTGCTGAAAAGTTCAAAACTGAACATAAATTGAATGTGTTGGTAAGTTTGCATACTTAAATCATGTGTCTATCTTTGGAGTGCCTGTCCTCTGAACTTAGCCAACAGATAGTCCAGATTTTGCAGTTCTCTCCTTAATGTTCTCTGAGTACTGCTACAGAAGTTTCCATGGTCCATTTGCTTTTGTCCATTCTCAGTTCATACACAGATATAATACAAAAAAGCAAGAAGTTCAGTAATTTTTTAGTTGCATCTTTTGAAGTTCTCACTGCAGATTTTTTATCTGACTTTTATTACTGACAACTTTGTGGCCTTCAGGTTGTATATTCAGGCTATGCATATTTCTCTAAACAAAAATATGGCAGAGAACGATGCCTCCCCCATGTTGTCCAACCCACCCTGCCATTGGCAGGACACCTTCCACTAGATGAGGCTGCCCAGGGCTCCATCCAGCCTGGTCTCACTTCCACGAAAGGGGCATCCATATCTTCTCTGGGAAGCCTGTTTCAGTTCCTTACCACCCTCACAGTGAAGACTTTTTTCCTAATATCTAACCTGAATTTCCTCTCTTTTAGTTTAAAGCCATTATTTTTTGTACTCCTTGAAGCCTTCTCATCTCGAGGCTGAAAAACCCCAAATCTCTTAGCTTGGCTCTACATGAGAGGTGCTACAGAAAGTGAATTTTCCCTAGTAGAGGAATGTCTAATGGAGAGTACATCATCATGTAGCATCAATGGGATCTCTCAGATGAGATTAACGTACTACACTGCTTATTTGTCCTAAAATCTGTGCTCTGCAACCTGCGTATTACTTCTGTGAGATGAGATTTTAAAACATGGAGTAAGGCACTAAGATGGTTGGCTTTTAGTACCAATCCATTTCTCTGAAGATCCTTTCTTCTGTGAAAAATATTTGTAGCAGTAAATTGAATTGGAATAGTGGGATTTATAGAAACAGTTTTTAGCATCATGCCAAAAAAAGTCAAACTATCATGATTTGCCTGTATGTTTGCTTTTGTTTGTAGACATTTGCCTAGATTGTTTTTGTTTACAGGAATTGTTTTACAGATTAACAATGCAGGGTGTATGGTGAACAACAGAGAGTTAACTGAAAATGGACTTGAAAAAAACTTTGCAACAAATACCTTGGGTGAGTATTGGGGGCCTAATTCTGAACAATGATAGATATGCTTGAAGTGTTTACAACTGGGCTCTTGCTGTTCAAAGAGGGATCGTATTATTGCTATGCCAGGGAAGAAGTATGAAGGTAAAAGAGGAAATATTGCAGCTTGTGTGGAGTGTCCTATTTGAATTTCTCCATTTTTCAGCTTCTGTCATATCAGTACCTTTATTTATTGTAGCAGCAGTGAACAAATGCAGATAAGATTTAATTAAATTGCTTCTGAAATGTGATAGGAAGCTTTGTTCCAAGCAGTGCTGCTAATGATAGTCTGTGTAATCCTGTAATCCAAGCTCCTGTGGCTTGTTTAGAGCACATTCATATGTTTCAGTAGGCCTGAGCAGTCCTACTGCACGTGGTGGAGGCACATGATATAGGAAGGCTGTACCTTCTATAGTGCCTTGGGCATTCTCAAACAGACACAACTCCTAGTCAAGTGATTGAGAAGTTCTGGGTAGTCCTTCACACCCCAGATATAAGGGGCGTATCTGATGAATGGTGGGGGCACAAGAGGGTTAAATTAGGGGAAACAAGGAAGAAAGAGGTGAGGACAAGCAGAGAAGACGGTGAGCAAAGGGAAAGGTTCCCCCATAAGAGCCATGGAAAAGATGTGAACATACAGGAAGCCAACAGTGAGAAGAGCTGTGTGCTGCCACTGATGTACGAAGGGTTGAAGGCTGCACCTCTTGCAAGGAGAGGTGTGTTGCATGCTGCTGTCCTGTTGCTCTCTTTTCCCTTCACACAACTATGTGGCTCTACAAAGGGACTGTTTTTAACATACTCAGAAGTGGCCATTAAAAAGGAGCTGTGGTGTTTTGTTTCTCTGTTTTCCTCCTGATTATCAATATCTGGGATGAGGAAGAGGGGAACCTTAGGCTGTAAAGATGGGGCATCGACAGAGCTAAGCATTCAGAGCCTGGGAACCCTTGTTTGGTTTAATTCTTAGCTTTGTTTTGCATAGATTCCTTAACTCCTATTTACTTCTGAACATTTTAGGGTAGAATTATCTTGTGCTTAGCTGATATTGCACACACACATTGTTTTTCTGCAAGTCTGACTGCATTAAAGTGACAATTAAAAATTCAAGTATAAAGGCACAGTTTCTTTTTCTTCAATCTTGTAGTAGCATTCTGTTTCTTGCGGCCAGAATTCAAAATGAGTTTTACTTTGCCATCAAATTTCCTCTGGCTGTAGAACTTCGACATGAGAAATGTATCCCCCTTGTTGTCTTTCAGACAAAAATTCAGCAATGTGCAAAGATGCAGTTCATCTGGAGAGAAGCAGAGTGAAGCAAATACAACAATTTGAACATGAAAGCATGTATTTGTGTAGTTTTAAGCACTGGGGAAATGAATTGCTGGGGAGCTGTGTGAGTACATCACTTGAATCGGATTTTATCACACAAGTGGAAGCAGCAAGTTCTGCTTTCCCAGCTGTAAATCAGCCTCACTGGAAATCTACAGCAGGATAAAGCTGCACGAATATGGTAGAGGAAGCTGAATTATGATTGTGCTGAACTAGGAAAGTGCCTGTGTTATCTTCTGTCAGTGTTACGTATAGATCTTCTTTAGTCATTTGTGTGTCACTTGCTTCTTGAGTGTATAAGAAGGTCAGGGAGGTGGCTGCACATTTGAGCAGATGAGGCAGGTAAGTCATTTTCTGCTGTCCAACTTCTGCAGAGTTCAGAGAAGGAGTGGATTGTCTGCCTAGGCTGGTTCTCTTTGTAACAGTAAGGATTGTCTTTTGAAGCTTTAGAATAGAATGGGACTTGGATGATGTGGAAGGGACCGTTTGTGTAAGGGAACACTTCTGTGCTTGCACATCAGGCATGCATGGGGGACCAATGCTATCAACAGTGCAGGTGTTTCGCTTCAAAGTCAGAGATGAGATAATAAATCATTCCTGTCAGAGTCACAGTAGAAGAAAGTAGTATGGAAAAATGCGTGTCAGAGCAGATGCTGTGTTAAGCCATTTCCCTGAGTACTGTGTGCCTTTGGGCGTGCTTTACTTTGGAGAAGTTATTTCTCAGTAACTAAAAGCATGCCCCGAGTTGATTCTCAGTAACTTCTCAGTAACTATCTGTTACAGATTCCCAGAGAAAACCTTGGCTACGTTAGACTTGGCAGGTATATAGGTTGGCTATAAACCAGGATGTAATCAGAGAGGACAAACTGAATTCCCCTCCCTGCTTTTATCCTCAGAAAAACTGAAGCCTGGCCTGTTTTGAACATCTGCAGTTGTCCCTCTCTTGTTAGCAGCATGGAAGCAGGAACTTGTGATTGCCTGATTTCTGTAGAATAAGAACATTATTAACACTTTTATTTTTTCCCCTAGAACTTCACATGCAGAGTGTTCCTTTCATCTTTCTTTGACTATTTGTTTCAACCCTGAATCTTAGCTCAGGTCTAATAATGGAACGTGTAGGTTGCAGCTATCTAAGAATGCAAGAATTAGCTATAAAATGCTTTAAATACAGAGCGTAGTCTGTTAGTTCTGTGTCTGATTAACATTTACATAAGCTCTAGGATTGCTCATTTAGGTGTCTAAAATGCTCTGAAGCTTTTAAATCCAGGCTGCGGGTATTTTCCTCTTGACTGACTTATTAGTGTGTTTTCAGATAGTTCGCATAATGGGTGTTAGAGTTCAGTTCTAATTGATGATCCTTTCTTGGAGAGAGTGGGCAAAAATGAATGCATAAGCCCTCTGATAGCTAAGATGAATATGTAAAAAAAAAAAAATAATAATAGTACTGGTTAAAATAAAAAATAAACCTCCCTGAACATGAAACACCACTGACTGGCTAATTGAGAACAGTTCACTGCATTAGGAGGTACAAAGACCTTTCTGGTGTTTCAGCTCTGTGGAAAAAGACTTGGGGGTCCTGAAATACAAAAAGCTAGACATGAGCCAGCAGTGTGCACTTACAGCCCGGAAGGCCAACTGTATCCTGGGCTGCATCAACAGAAGGGAGGCAGCAGGGTGAGGGAGGGGATTGTCCTCTGCTCTGACCTCATGAGGCCAGCAGGTCCATGGGAGGGCCGTGAAGATGATCAGAGGGCTGGAGCACCTCTTTTATGAAGAAAGGTTAAGGGAGTTAGGCTTGTTGAGCCTGGAGAAGAGAAGGCTGTGGGAAACCACATTGTGGCCTTCCAGTACTTAAAGGGAGCTTCCAAGCAGGAGAGGGAATGATTTTTTACATGGTCTGATAGTTTTAGGACAAAGGGCAATGGCTTTAAATTAAAAGAGGGGAGATTTAGGTTAGATGTTAGGAAGAAATTCTTCACTATGAGAGTGGTGAGGCCCTGGCACAGCTACCCAGAGAAGCTGTGGGTTCCGCATCCCTGGAGGCAATCAGTGTGCAAGAGCCCGAAGGCCAACTATACCAGGTTAGATGGGCTGTGCGCAGCCTGAGCTGCTGCGTGGCACTGCCCATGTTGGCTTGGAAATGGATGGGCTTTAAGGTTCTTTCCAACATAAACCATTCTATGATTCTGTGATTCTACAATTAGATAGGTGGGAGAAGTGTATGAGAATGTCAGCTGCGGGTTGATGGTTCCAGCTTGTAAGTTCTCCCACTCCAAACAAAGACCATTCAAACCAACAGTATTCAGTCATTTTGGGAAGAAAAAAAAAGCCAATAACTATCAGTGTTAGTAGACAAGTGGAAGCAACAGAAATCTGTTCCTTTTGAAGCACTAGAAATGCAGCTGAAAGAGTACCTGTTTTCTCTGTTTCATTGTCCTCCTCACTTTTCTTTTACTCAACACATCTTCTTGCTTGACGTGGAGAAGTAGCATATCCATTACATTTTATTGCTACTTAACAGCCAAGGGGATGCTAAAACACACTCAGAGGTAAATAAGTGGAGCTCCCACTGAGTGTGACTTTCTCAGTCTAATGAAACCTCCTGTGCTCTCATGTTGCAATAATAAAGCTGTATACAGTTACTCTGTGAGCAAGAAGGGGTAGAGCCAGGGGAAATAACATGTTAGGGCCGTAAGAAATAAGATGTGCAGCCCATCTATGACAACCTGCCTAACTTGACTGAATATTTTTCAGTCTCTTCCCTCCACATAAACCATACGTAACTGGGTCTCGTATGAGCCAGCATTGCCTGTCAGACTGTGTCTGAACTACTTGGAGGTCAGGCAGCTTGGATGGCAGCTGCTGCTCTGCCATGAAGTCAGTCTTGATCTTTGCAGACAGCCTTACTTATGTGAAGGAGCCTGTGATACCAGTTTACTTTTACCGAGTTTTGAGACAGAGAGATTGAGAGATGCTATAAAAAAAAAAAAGGTGAAGTTAGATGTAGTTGTAAATCTACTAGCTGTACTGAATTCTGGTTTCCCAGGACACAGAGGAACCTTTATTGAGCTGAGCTTTGTAATTCAAGGGAAATGTGGACCTTTGTTTTGTCTTTCATGTTCATTAGCTCTTCCCATGCACTCTCAGTTATTGCCTAGTGTGGTGGAATTGCCCCTCAGAGACGGCGCACTAAAATCCTCATTCCTGATCTGATACTCAGGAAACAGGCTCAGGGATGTCTCTCACTTGAAACTGTATAAATTGAAGGCTTGAAAAGATAACCAGGTCAAGAAAGAATGTCAGCTTGTGCTTTTTTATTTTCTCCTTTCTTTTAAGCCTCGGACACAGGAAAAGCAAGCCAATTTACTTAACTCATTTCTACCAGATGAGCGAGCCATTGAAATCTGTATTATAAAACTTTGTTCCCACTTTTTTTTTCACAGCTGAAATAGCACTGTTCCTAATAATACTGCAGGGCTCAGTAAGATGGAAAACTCCACTGAATGTAGTGCTGGCTGCCTGCCCTTATCTGGATGTTAGCAGATTAGAAACCTTACCAACAATTTACCACTAATTGCCAGACAGAACATCGAGCAAAAACTATTGTAGAATCCACTGACACACTTGGGCCTACAGTAATTGCATCATGAATTAATTTGATGTTA